GTATGTGACTTGATATCTTAGCTCCTGACAACGTGACGAACGTTTGAGTGCATTAACGTCGCCGACGCGTCAAACAAATGGGTCTGGTTAAATCAGAGCGCTTTGACATGTCTGGAAGCGTCACAAACGTCTGTGACTTGACATCTTAGCTGCTGGTAACCTATGAACGTTTGAGTGCGTTAAATGTTGCCGACGCGTCAAACGAATGTGTCTGGTTTAATCAGAAGCGCTGTAGCATGTCTGGAAGCGTCACAAACCTATATGACTAGACATCTTAGTTTCTGGCAACGTGACGTTTGTCCCGCTTAAATTCTGATTAAACCAGACCCATTTGTTTGACGCGAAGGCAACCGTTAATGCACTCAAACGTTCGTCACGTTGTGAGGAGCTACGATATCAAGTCACATACCTTTGTGCCGCTTCCAGACTGCTTAAGCGCTTCTGATTAAACCAGACCCATTTGTTGACGCGAAGTAACGGTGAACGCCACTCAAACGTTCGTCACGTTGCCAGGAGCTAAGATATCAAGTCACATACGTTTGTGACACTTCCAGACATCCTACAGCGCTCCTGATTACAACGTTCTTCACGTTGCCAGGAGCTAAGATATCAAGTCACATACGTTTGTGCCGCTTCCAGACATGTTAAAGCGCTTCTGATTGAACCATACGTATTCGTTTGACGCGAAGGCAACAGTTAATGCACTCAGACGTTCGTCACGTTGTCAGGAGCTAAGATATCAAGTCACATACGTTTGTGCTGTTTCCAGACATGCTACAGCGCTTCTGATAAAACCAGACGCATTGGTTGACGTATCCGCAACCGTTAATGCACTCAATTGTTCGTGACGTTGCTAAGAGCTAGGATATCAAGTCACATACGTTTGTGCCGCTTCCAGACATGCTACAGCGCTACTGATTAAACCATACACATTCGTTTGACGCGTCAGCAACAGTAACGGTCTCAAACGTTCGTCACGTTGCCAGGAGCTAAGATATAAAGTCATAGACGTTTGTGCTATTTCCAGACATGCTAAAGCGCTTCTGATTGAACCATACGCATTTGTTTGACGCGTCGGCGACGTTAATGCACTCAACCGTTCGTCACGTTGCCAGTAGCTAAGACATCAAGTCATATACGTTTGTGCCGCTTCCAGGCATTCTACAGCGCTACTGATCATACCAGACCCATTTGTTTGACGCGTCAGCGACGTTAATGCACTGAAACGTTCGTCACGTTGCCAGAAACTAAGATATCAAGTCACATACGTTTGTGCCGCTTCCAGATATGCTAAAGCGCTTCTGAAAAAACCAGACGCATTTGTTTGACGTATCCGCAACCGATAATGCACTCAAACGTTCGTCAAGTTGCCAGGAGCTAGGATATTAAGTCACATGCGCTTGTGACGCTTCCAGACATGCTACAGCTTTCCTGATTTCACCATACACATTCGTTTGACGCGGAGTCAACAGTTAACGCACTCAAAAGTTCTCACGTTGTTAGTTGCTAAGATATCAAGTCACATACGTTTGTGCCGCTTCCAGACATGCTACAGCGCTACTAAATAAACCATACACATTCGTTTGACGCAGACGCAACAGTTAACGCACTCAAACGTTGGTCACGTTGA